CGTCGGGTCAGGCGGTGTGGGTGGAGGTGCTCTGAGGCGTTGCTGGGACTCCTCTGACCGTCCTTTGGGTCTAGTCTTTACCTAGCTCTGCTGACTGCAGTGTGCATCCGGAAAGGGTTTCGGCCAGATTCCGCGAATGACCCATGCCATGAGTCATAGATCATCATTCATCACTCTGCAATGTTCTCGTCTCTCGTGGATCAAATATGGCTGCCAGTGTCGTCTCTGTCTATGTAGATTCACGCTCAAAAATATGCACGAGTGACTGAATTCCGTACCTGGTTAATTTGATATCCGCGATCCTTCATTTGGTAGGTCGTATGGGTCTTCTCTGGACTGGGTGTGGTCGGACCGTGTATCCAGCTACAGTCGGTCGACAGAAATCAGTGGGCATCTGTGACAATCAATACGAATCCGTACACTTGTCCGCTGGACGTTCCGACGGTGTTCCGTGTGGCTTCCTTCCCGACTCGGGAGGGCTTCCTCCCGTCCAACAGGGCGCAGTCCTTGCCTCTGCTCGAGCCCTCCCCGTAGATCAGAGGATTTCCACTGATTGGTTTTATGACGTCACTAAGCGGAGCAGATGTCCGAATGCCGTTATGAGAAACCACCTAACCGCCGCGCCACAATGCAGTGACATTCTTCTGAGCTCTGTTCTCGAGAGCTTACAAAGTTACAAAGCTCCGGGTATGCTGCGTCGTGCACAATCTCTGTTTGGGCTTGTTTCAGTCTGTGTCGTGTTGCCCCAGTTTGGACCGACTCGACCGTGTACTTTCCCCACACACGACATTAGCGAGGCTATTCATGTCGTACACTTAGCCCCATTTCTTAGTCCGCTGAGCTGGGCATTACTTTCATACCACAGCGACCGGCGAGGCACGAATTTTTCAGAGCACCGTTCGGAAAACAGACGGCGCGTGCTTTCGAGAGGGCTGGTCGGCACGTGGGCATTTGTAACTTGGGAGGAAAGTACCGCCATGGCCCCTACCTTCCCCTTGGGTAGGCTGGTACCGTGTGGAACGGGCTCGGCACGTTCTAAAGGGCAGGGCAACGAGTCGGAGACCGGGATCATGGGGTCAAGCGTGCCGATGTTTAGGCGAGGGAGCTATTTTCCGAGCTGTGTGGGACACCGTCCATGCCGACATTTCTCCTTCAGGTGGATATTTGGTCCGTCGTGAGTGCCTCTGCAGCTGCAAACCACGCATGGGCTTTGGGCAACCGCTGTCTCAGCTATGTCAACATTGAAGCATAGCTGGTCCCGGATCAACCTGACCTTTCAAAGGACAAAGAGTGCGTATTGGTAGTCGTGCTGTTTCGAATTTGCCCCTTGGCATTTGTCACATTTCAATGCACATGTCAGTTACACTCAGTCATAGACTGCTATATCACATAGTCTACCGGGTGGCCCAGAAAAAACGTTCCCAACTTTGAATCAATATTTCTCAGAAAGTGATAAAGATGCAACAATGAAACTTCCAATAGTCAATGCGGCATATATTTTCAGTGAATGGTATGATTTTTATGTTATTCGGTCAATTACTTTTTAAACGGTTCGTGTTTCTAGCATGCCATGTAAAAATTACTTTTTTGCTCAGATGTTTACTAAAAAATGTGAGTGAACGGGCCACTTCCATCTCGGCACCACGGCCTGCAGCCATGACTGCTACTGGCAACTAGACTCATTGATGGTTCAGGCCTCAGGGTGATACATTCTGTCTAGTTTTTTTCTTTATTCGGTCGATTTACCGTTTGATCTTCTTGAAGGGAGGGCGATGAGCAGTAACCCATGCACCGTGCCACTCCTGCTCGAAACAGGACTTAGCGTTGAAACGAATGGCATCCATATAACACCATTTTGGCTCATTATTTGAATATTTGGCACATAAGTGGGATAAAAAAATATTTAAAATAACAACATACGTGCTGGTTTCATTCACGTGTTCTATTTTTCTATCTCTTTCTAACGTAGTACGTCTAAGCCCATCATCACTTCCGTTCAACATCGGCAAAAAAAGCAAAAACATCTTACTTGATTCAACATAAGATTGCTGGCTTGAAAATGATGGTACAGTGTTACAATTTGGCATGCCAATGCGCAAAGAAGTGATGCAAACTTGATGAAAATTTTGGCTCGTTATTTGCACTCCAATTTGAGATATAGGCCTCCAAAGTTGGGAACGTTTTTTTTGGGCCACCCGGTATGTTATAGACAGTTTGATACAGAGTAGTTTATGGCTATGCTCAGTCAACCCACGTCTCTTTTTTCTGCGCTGTTGTTTATTCGCCGTTCGACACTGCTCGTGCACGCAGTACGCACTCTCCACCCACCACCGCGCCTACCGCCGCGGGGCCTGACCTTGGGTAGCGGCAGGGCGTGGGGTCGGTCGGCGCCTCCCCCCTCCCCCGCCCTCCCGCCGAGAGGGGTGGGGTTACCGCCGACACTGACGGCTACCGGTCACCGACATCGGGTCACCGGCTGTCACTGAGTCACCGACTGTCATGTGACTGTCACAGAACAGTCAGGTGACAGGTGGCTACAGTACGGGCAGGTGACTGCAAAGAGGAGACATGGGATGTGTCATGTGAACGTTGTGTTTAGCTGAGTTTTTAGTAGGGCTTATCTGGGAAGCATGCTGTTCTGAGTGGTCGTGTTTTGATAGCCGGATCTCTGGGGCATGCATTTCTCGCGGTTTTACTATTTATGCTAAAGATAGGTGTAAATTTTCTTGTATTTTGCACTGTGTCCTCGAGCGCTATTCTGAGGTTTGTGACTTGTTTTTGTCACCTAACCTAAGTTATGTGAGAAAATGCTGATAACTTTGTACACGAGTATTTGAAATAAATATTAGAGGGCCGGCTAGTGCATATGTATAAGATAGATGCGTCATTAAATATTTATTAGCACTGCTCAGACCATTGGGATCGACAGGGCAGTGTTTCCAATAAAGTCAGTACACGAAGCTCGGAAATGAGCGTCGTGTGGGCGGCAGCTCCACTTTCCATGGCCGTATTGACAGTCTGGGAACGGGGTGTGCCTGTGCGCTGCTGCAGGGGAGTCACAAACTCATCGACTACCACAGACACTTTCGTTGCTGGTCGACCCTCCGGCAAAACCCTGTCGCCGACGCCGGGACTGACTGCCGATTCACAGTCGCTGCCGCCCGCCCGTCCGTCCCGGTTCCGTCTGTGCGTCCGTGTATCCGTCTTTTATCCGTCTTATCCGTCTCCGTCTTTCTGTCCGTTTTTCCGTTTTCCTGTCTGTCCGTCCCGGTTGCGTCTGTCTGTCCGTCTATTCGTCTGTCATTTTGTCCGTCCGTCTGTCTGTCTGTCCGTCTGTCCTGTCCGTCTGTCCGTCTGTCCTGTCCGTCTGTCCTGTCCGTCTGTCCTGTCCGTCTGTCCTGTCCGTCTGTCCTGTCCGTCTGTCCATCTGTCCGTCTGCCTGTCTGCCCGTTTGCCCGTCTGCCCGTCTGTCCGTCCGTCCGTCCGCCCGTACGTCGTCCGTCCACCGGACGGGCTATACGGTCTTAGTGAAGCGGCCGTTCACCCCACTGGAGCTGGCGTAGCCGTCCGGCTGCCGTCGGCTGCGGTGGGCGCAGCTGGTCTGCTGGTCCGCAGCGCTGGTCAGGCCGGCTGACCAGCGGCTGTGCCCATGCTGCGATGAGCGACAGCCAGCGACTCGTCAGTGGAACGGTAGCTGGATGTTCATAAAGTGCTTACAGCAAATTGATATTTTGAACAAAAGGTCGTGCAGTTCAAATTGAGGTCATATATTATCGGTACGATGTTTTTTCTGCAGCACCTTTCTTCCTCTTCTGGTTTCTGCTTCTCACCGACTCCTTACGGAGGTTCCCATTAAACAAAGCACCGTCTCCGTCCCGTGTCGGCGGCTTCGCGGCCGTCCAGGACTGCTAGGAGGTCCGCCCTACCTCCTCCTGAGCCGCGGGTCACCGGCCGCCCCGCCCCCGCCCCCGCCCCCGCCCCCGCCGGGCGCCGACCGTGTCCCCGGCGTCTCGACCCGTCGCGCCGGCCCGCTGAAAGGCGGGGGCGGCGCCGGTAGCGGTGATGTGTTGTCCTGTTGACGTGACTCCGGGCTCCGCCCTGCGCTCCAGTCACGACGCTCGAGTCGCCACGGCGCAGAGACTTCGGTGTGAGACGGAGCGTCGCCTCTTACACGCACTGAAAACAAATCTACTCTTTTCTCGTGAGTAAACTCACGGAAGAGCGGTTATATGGACACCACCTATTTGACGGCCCCAGCGACCGGTTAATCAACTCACCACTTGCCGGTCAACTTTCCGATGAAACGTGCGTTTACTCATGCATATTTACCCACGCTCGATGAGTTAACTCATTGCGAAAACTCATGTATCGCTGGTTACTCATTTCCGTTACTCTCATTCTGTGAGTTGATTTACTCATGGATGGACGGTTTTATGGACACCACCTATTTGACTGCGCCAGCGACCGGTCAATCTACTCACCTTACTCATTGTGAAAACTCATGTATCGCTGGTTACTCATTTTCGTTACTCTTATTCTGTGAGTTAATTTACTAATGGATGGGCGATTTTATGGACACCACCTATTTGACTGCGCCAGCGACCGGTCAATCTACTCACCTCTTACCAGTCAACCTACTCATCAGTCATAGGTAAGGTTGACCGGCAGGAGATGAGTAGATTTTCCGCTGTTAATATTACGGATAACGCGACTTATCAGATTTTCATTCCCATCTTGCGTGTTATTTCGTGTGCAAAATAGCATGCAAGACGAGGAAGAACATCCAACAAGACCATATACTATCCGTTATACTAACACCGAGCAATGACAACGAACACAGAAACGTGGTCGTTTTATAGGAACAATCAACAAGACATCGAATGTTCTGTAAAACGACAAGTGCGTGGATACCTATTGTCATGGCATGGGCGACATAAAATTGACAAAATAATAACCCTGCGCTCATTTTGTACTGTTTAGAACGAATGACAAGTCAAGAGAACAGCAAAGTTAAATCTGTATTCCATGCACATACGAACAAGCAAGCTGGACAACCTATTATGGACGGTAACGCTCAATGATCATAGCTGGTTGCAAGACCAGACCAGCTATAGGAACCCATCATAAGGAGCAGACGGACCTATTATACCAAGCAGCTTTCTATTTCACAGTCTTATGTGCGATTATGTTATTTCGCATTCTATAGAAAGGTCGTGCAACCAGCATGTGAAAGACGCAGTTTCAATAGTCATTTAATACGCAAACACAGTTTCAATGGTTTGGTTACCTGATACATTTCCGATTCTGCTCTGCCTGTGCTTTACATCAAAGTGCCTTGTATCTCATTCATTAGCGTCCAACGTTTCACGTCTCTTTACGGTTTAGGGACACCCTGCAGCAAAATATAAACGAACTGCAACAAGCTAATTCAACTGCAACTAGTTACAATGACAAAAACTTGCGGAACAGAAAACAGAAACAAACAGAGAAAAGTATGAGGCACCAACAGAACTCTGCCGGTCAGTCTCTGTCCCGGCAGCTGGTCACTGAAGTCGACCGCCGAGGTTAGCTCTTTGAACTCGACAACCGTCTCATTCTCCACGTAGAGCATGCCAGCTCGAACTTGCGGCCATGGGTACTGGCCACTGGGGATGGCTGAAACACAGCTCCGTGCTCGCCAGCGCGGTGCAGCAGGTGGTCGACTGCATCGTCTGCAACAAGAACAAATATTTCCGATACTATTAATGGTTATATCCCGAGCAAGTTGCCTCGGGTCGATTAACGCATATTTTACTCTCGAGTGATGTAACGGTTTTATCCCGAGCCGTCAGGTGAAAAAAAAAAAACAGGAACTTTGAGAGCAGAAAAGAGAATATACACACCCGGGGCTGGGTACAATTTTATTATGTCACCGAGTTTTTGCCGAAGTTCCGAGGGTCATTAGACCCGAGGTATTTCGATAAAATACGAGGTTATATCATTAAATTGCCAGCCCTAGGACAAGTTCATTTCCAAACATGCAACGCTCACCAATGTTCACAAAGTCAATAAATGCTGCTAAATAAATTAAATTTAGCAGAGGGCCGGACAACGTCCTTGACGACGGGCGGGGCAACATATTATTCAGACGGAGGCTGAGCGGAGCGAAGCCGTATGAACAAAAGTATTATAAGAGCAAAAGTATGAACGAAGTCAAATGAACATTCACTCTCTATACTCACCGATAACGAGCCAGCTCTCCTCAATTTGTCCATCGCCGGCGGCCCGCTCGCGCTGGTGCCCTCGCCGGGGTCGGCGGTGGCGGCCGTGACCTCCGCATCGACAGAGTTGCTGGGACCCTGAATAACAAACCAATAGATGTTATTAATGTACGCCACAATAATACACAGTTACGGTCAGCCAGTCTATTTTGAACAGAGTTTCCTGAGAGCAAACTAATGCACCGGTGCTGGGAGAAAATGTCATCTGATTTTGCAACTTCTATTGTTTAATTTTGCTGCAATACGTTCTACTGGTTTGTTTAAAAAGCGGGCATTAAAATTTAAAACATGTTTGTCTACCTAGCATACAAAAATATGTGTCTGTCACGTTCAAAAGGCACTGCGGAACATTTAGATTGCTGGTTAGTTGAGTTGGATCTGGGCAAATTAAGTGAATTTGAGGCTCATTTTTTTTCAGGGCAAAGCAGTTTTCTTAGGTTATTGATAAAGGGCAGATATTTAGTTACCTTAAGCCCGTGTACTAATTGTGAGGCAGTTTTTTGCATCTTTTTACGCTATCGTTTTTACGCTATCTTCGAAAAACCTTAGGGTGGGTCGCATCAACCCCCCCCCCCCCCGCCAGGGCGAGGGTTAACGTCCATGGGAAACTGCAGTGTGGCATGGACACTGGCCAGCCTGCGAGTTATGTGCACAAGGAATATTTGTGGTGAAATTTCATCTGAGAACAGCCCATAAGCAGTTTCAAAATCATTTCTCACCAGACACCAAGCACAGCATTCCAATTTCCAACCTACCCACCTTCGACCTAAATCAATTTTTTATAATAGCTGGGCACCTGTGAACTTGCATATTTTGCCATTTGCTTGCATTTATATTTTGGTATTCCTCTGATAGGCATGTCACAGGTAGCTTTTGGATGGTGCTGGTATTTTCTTTTTGTCTTTAGCGGAGATAAACCATCAAAATAGGTCAAAATTTTATTTTTTTCCCTGAATTTTAAGGCTCTGAAAACCTGATGCATTTTCTAATTCAGCACATATAGGGATAATAGATGCACGCTTGATGCTGGACATGCACTGAAGCTTTTGGCATGAAATTTTGCCACTACAAGCATTACCCTGGCTATGTGCATATTAATAATATAAGCTATTCTGCCTGTGTCCCTGGATCTGGTTGTACAGTGGTCTATAAATTCATTATATGCTCCTTGAAGGGCAGTCTGATACCTAAACTGCAGTATGACATGGACGCGGGGTCACGCATGTGGACTTCCTGGCCCCTTTACTGTATAGCAATGTCCCAGGCCTGCATGTAGGTTAGCAAAGAGAGCTGTCGTTTAATTCTCCGGTATTTTTCACGCACAATACCCTTAATAACGCAAAATATCTGGTAATTTACTCACCTTAACTTGCAGCACGCGACTCCCCCTGCACACACGGATCCGGCCGGAACAAAAATGGCGGCGAGGCGGCCTATGATCCATCGGTAAAGAAACACGTCAAAAACGAGTTTGATAACCGGTCGGCTGTGAGTACGCTTTTTACGCACGATTTGTGATTTTATTTACTCATAACTCATTTCCAGAACTCGCTTTCTACAGATTTAGTGAATGCATGATTCGTGAGTACGATAATTACGCGCAATACATGAGTCAAGAAACTCGCATTTCCTGACAGACAACCATTATTTCATGCGTTTGGGGCCGCCTTACTCATGGATTTTTTTTTCCATATAGGCTTTATTTACACATACAACACATACAACATACAACAGTCATCATCATGAACATGCAATTGCACAGTCAGGTCAGTTCCAACTCCAAAAAGGAACCCCTCGGAATCCTGCCCCGCCCCGCATCGCCCCGCAAACTACGTGTATAACACATCCTCGTTCTTGCTGGGGCGATGCCCCAGGCCGCCGGCCGGGCCCGCGACCCGTCACCCTGATAGGGTGGCGAGCCGCGCGCCCGGCCGGCCGGCCGACCCTTTATAGGGCCGGCCTCCGGTTAGCCGGGTTGGGTTAGGGGCGGGCAGGGCACGCTATACCAAAGAGGCATCTACTTGAAGTGTATGAGTGTTTGTGTTTGTTTGTGATATGTGTTTGTGTGTGTAGAAGTGTGTGCGTGTGTGTGTGTGTGTGTGTGTGTTTGTAGGGGTGCATTTGTGAGGGTGTTTGTGAATGTGTGTTTAGTTTCATGTCTTGTTTTATGAACTGCCTTCTATCTCGTACTAGACAAAAGCGTGAGAAACACGGACTATCAGTGTTCTGGCTCAGTGTCTTCATGTGAATTTGGCTCTAAAATGTTTTTTACGACACCCCACTTATCGTTAAAAGTCGACAATTTACCTTGGATCCTTGCGGATCCCATTTCTTTTTCAGCCTCTATCCGAAGCATATGTAAAAGGTGATCGACGTTCGGTTGCTGACCTTTGCTTCTGGCTTTGTATATCACTAACTTAGCAATTGTTATTATTAGCACTTCTATTTTGCTAATCTTTTCTAGCGTCGGGAAGAACCAACTTTTTCTATCAAACATTATTTCTAAGCGAAACGAGTTTTGCAAATTTGCTTTGAACTGCTGAATGAAATCTTGAACTTTAGGACACATCCAGAAAAGATGTATGAGAGTTTCACAATCACTTAAGCAAAATGTGCATGCAGAGTTTTCTATCACGCCTATCCTATGTAAGAATCTGTTTGTTGTGAGTATTCTAGTTATTAATTTGAAATGAAATGATTGCAAATATGTATTTTGTGTTACAATTCTCATGTCATTCGTACTTCCTTCTAGTGCTAAATCAATGTCACGCATCCACTTTCTACTCCAGTTAGTTTGAGAGTCTTTATATTTTTTTCGTAATGACTTGATAAACTCATAATACGCTATCTTTGATATTTTGCTTTTTCTCGCCAATAAAGCTATCTTGTATGGGATAAGAGGTAAATTTAATTGGTGACGAACTGCTAAATTACGTATTTCGGAAGGTAGACTTCTAACTAATGACTGATAACATAAAAATGTCATTCTCACTCCGTATCTTCGTGCTAGTTGTTCTCTCGTTAAAAGTGCTCCCGATTCTAGATCTATTAAGTCCTGAATGAACCTCAGTCCTTTACCGTCCCATTTAGTAACTTTGTCATATGTAAACTTAGTATAGTTAGAACACCATATCCAGTCAGACAACATCCGCTCGGGGTTCACTTGATGCATTTCCATGAAGTCTCCCCATGATCTTGCAACCTCAGCCCAAAACTGATTGGGGATAAGTTTACTCTCTTTATTCACCTTTTTGCAGCCGTATCTTTCAATAAACTCTACATTAGGAATCTCTTTTTTTATCCATCCTGCCCAGCTATTATTTGACCAATGCAGTCTTTGAACCCAACTTACTTTCATACTCTTGATAAAAGACCACAGATCTATCATTTTCAGTCCATCGTGATGATAACCTTGAATCATTTTCGTTCGCTTGACGAGGTCGTTTCGATCATTCCATAAGAATGTATACCAGAGGGATTCTATGTGTTTAACCATCTTGTGAGATGGATTTGGCAGCGCCATTAAAATATGCACCAATTTTGACAATAGTAGCGATTTTATAACCGTTATCTTTCCGAAAACTGATAGATTTCTTCTCTTCCATTGCGCTATTTCTTTCTCAATTGCCGGTAAGATAGCTGATATGTTCCTATCGGTTAATTCAACATTTTTGTCATTGAAAGTAATTCCCAGTATTCTGAGCTCTTCAACGCAACTAATTCCGCAGAAGTTCGCTATCCTCGCATTGCCGCCAATGGACAAACATTTTGTTTTACTGATATTTGTGCGCAGTCCGGAAAAGGAGGAAAAAGTCTCCATCTCTTCGAGAGCGCCCCGTAATGAAGTGTCATTTGCATCTAGGAACATAATAACGTCATCCGCGTACTGAGAGATTTTGATTTCAAAATCATGTATCCTCACTCCGCGTACTTTCTCAGATTGTATTATCATATTTGTAAGGGGCTCCATTGCAAGATTGAACAAATAACCTGACGCCGGGTCACCCTGTCTGATTCCCTGATGCAAATAGATTTTATCTCCCAGGAAGCCACCTAACATGATTCGTGAAAAGTTTGCATCGTTAAGATAAACAAGCTGTATCAGCTTCTTGAAATTAGGTCCAAAGTTATATTGATCTAATGCTTTACGTAAGAAATCCCAGGAAACACTTTCGAACGCGGCTTCAATGTCTGCTGCGAGGAGGAAGCCAGGTTTGTTGGTTCTGTTTAAAAAATCAATAACATCATATACAAGTCTGCTATTTTCTGCTATACATCGCCCTTTTATGTAAGCACTCTGACTAGGTGAAATAAGTTCATGCATTACGCTTTTCAGCCTAGAAGTAATAGCAGCAGATATAATTTTAAAATCAGTGTTTAATAAAGAAATGGGTCTCCAACCTTTTACCGAATCTGCTGGTTTACCCGATTTCGGGATAAGCGTCACTATTCCCTCTCGGAAGGAGTTAATCAAACAACCCTTCAACACATCTTCATTAAAAGCCCTTAACAAAAATACTCCAATGTAAGGCCAAAAATGTTTGAAAAAAGCTGCCGTGAAGCCATTGCTTCCTGGCGATTTTCCTTTCTTCATCGACATCAGTGATCCTTACTCATGGATGGCATGAGTAAGGTGAGCCTTACTCATGGATGGCAGGTCATTGATTTCTTTGTATGAGTTTTTGTAATGAGTAAACCAGAACTCAGGGCTTGGAATGCTTCATACACGAGTAAACCAGCGGTTGAAACTCATTAGCGGCTGGTAAAATGACCTTTACTCTCCATACACGAGTAGATTTGTTTTCAGTGCGGCGTCATCGTAACATGTCGCCGCTACTGAGATCTGAATAAAGCTATTCTCGGGACAAAGTGTCCGTGCGGCTTGCGCTTCACAGATCCAACTTCAGTCGAGCCGACGCGAAGTCTGGTCGAGACTGGCGGCTCACCTTCCGGTCTATGTATGGTCAGTGAGGCATGACCCTTACACCATTGACCCGTGACCTGAAGCGCGATGGCACGTATTGGGCTCGGTAGTACCTCTTGCCTACGGTGACCGTACTCCGTACTTACCTCCAGTGGTCGCCTCAGCAGTGTGTCTTGCTGTCGAAGTTTCCATGGCCCGTAAGCGTCACGACTCAAAGTCGCCTTAACTGTATCACCTGTGGTCGACACCGTTTGGAGAAGCACATGCGCCCAACCACTGAATTATTTATGACGGCGATATACCTGATTTATGTCTCTGTTGTTGACGGTGCTCCGCTGCCTTGGTCTCGCTCATTCTCATTCTTTCTTTTCGTCATTAATCATGTTTCTTCCGTACACTTGTTCTTATGCATGCATCATGCTCGTTCATTGGCGTTATAATACTTCCATGTGCACCAGAGAAAGAACTTGAGTGGAAGCAGACTCAAAACGTTGTAAAGATGATCTCAGTATAATGTGTTTTGAGAGTATGGATAGGTTACCAATCAGCAGTCAAACTCGCCCATTACAAGGCTATCTAAGCCCACGCTTGTCACGAAGGCGGCCTGAGCCGAGTACCCGCGCCCATGGGTGCTGTGCTCGCGTGTCTTGCTGATCCGCTCCCATCGCCATTCTGCGCCGGCGCCTCGTTCAGAGGCTGTAATGGGCGGTTAGTTCCGGGACTGGCTCTGATGTGGGACACTGTCCGCAGTTTGGCACGCTCATTGAGTTGATATCGCCGACAAGAAGCTCGTATACGCCGCCGTATGTGAAAGTGCGTACACTTTTATCTACAGATGCGCATTGCAGATAAGTTAGCAACCATGGGAGATGAAACTAGTCGAATCGATCTCGGGACTTACACAAGACTTGTATTGTTGACAATCCCATTCAGAGAAGCTCGTGAATGGTGCCCTCACCATGCCAGCTCATGTGACCAAGCCTTTAGGTGCCCGGGTGCCTTGCGATGTGTGCTGAGCTTTACGATCGGGCAGTGTCCGCGGCGCTCGGCTGCCGTGACGCGGTTCCCTGGACGTCGTTCCCAAACCCAGGATAGCCGTGAAGTTTAGTTGGAGTCGACGGACCGCCACAGACGGCAGTATATCTTCCTCAGAGTGTACATCTGTGGGTTGGTACCCATGACGGACCTCCATGTCGAGAAGTATTGGCCAGAGAAGTAGAGATATAAAAGGTAGCGCGAGTGAACGCCTGAGTATGGGTACGGTGTACTTTCCGTGCATCAGTCCTCCTAGAATACGCTACGACCGACGACGGTCTTGAGCTAAAAGCGTTGTGAACCTTTGAAATGTTGCATTGAGTTCGTGATGATGTATTTAACGAAATGGTTACGCTGCCGGCTTACGAGTATGTGATTTTACCTTTTAACCGGAACATTGCGAGATGCGAAACAAGGTGAGCTACCAAAGCATCCGGAGACTTGCGATGTTGACCCATATCCATAAGAAGCATGGGATAAATCGCCAATTAGTCATGAGCCACGGGCGTCATTTTGACATCGCTTTTTATTTTCTGTGTTGCATCATACCTAATGCCCTAAAAATATCATCATGCAACCATTTTGCCTGATCTCGTAACTATCTTTCAACGATCTTTGTGGACATCCGGTGAGGTTTTCCCGCTGTAAGTCGCACCAGAATCCAGATCCGCCTCGATTTAGGCCAGTTGC